TTATCTTGTTTTTCTTAGTTTCAGGACAACTAGACTTAACTAGATCATTCTACGTACCTGACTACATCTATTGTTTCTGCTTTAAAGACGTTTCTGGGTAATTTTTAAAGGATTGTTGTATGTTGTGTTTAATTTTGAAGCTGTCTTCAACCTTTTCTGGAGGGTACAAGTAAATTTAAGGACAACATTCCCAGCCAATGCACCTCAAGCACAGCCACCACCTGCCTGTCATTGAAGGCTTCAGTGTTGCTATGATGCTGAACAGGTTTCAGTGGAGCTTCCAGACTAAGACTAGGAAGAAAGGCCTGGTGATCTACTTCTGAAAATTAGACAATGGAAACCCTATGGATCACAATGGTTCAATCCCATTGTACATGGTGTTGCCATGAGTCAGGGACCAACCTGACAGCAGCTGGCCACAACGTGTGTTGCTCACACACGCATTCTCAACTAGCTCCCTTCTCCCTGTGACTTTAGGTGCTTTTTCTAGTTTTCCAACTGTGCCCTTCCCATTTCAGCAGATCCTGCCTGTGAAGGATCTGCACATGGAGATTCTAGCAATCAGGCGCTCGTCCATGGTCTCTAGGTGGCTCTATGTGAGAAGCCCCTGTAGACTTGCAGACCCTTGCACCCCACAGAATGTCCAATCGTGATGCAATGCTGCCTTCAGAATGGCCTAGCCCTATATTAGGGAGAGACACAAAACATATTATCCATCTCAGGTTCACCCTGGCTCTGCAATCATTTTCCACTTGGGATCCAGGCCCGAAAGCCTCCTTAGTCTACAGTTATGAAGGCAACCATTGTCACTGGAATTTTAGGCAAAGCTCTGGTACCTGAAAGCTCTCATTCTTATGTGGGAGGGGAGGCTTGAGGGTAGATGGCATGCAGAGCGCCCAAATCAGTCATCAGGACTGTGGGGGCTGAAGATACCAAAACCTATAACTCAGGCCAAGCATCCTGTACCAGTGAGAACCCTCAAACTGAACACTCCTCCCCTCCAAAGATGAAGAGCTAGTGCTCACTCGAGGTGCCCAACAAGCAGATAAACGTTTCTCAAGATGCAGTCTATGGACAGGGCATTGCCCTGGAAATCCAAGTGGAAAATGGTCAGGTTCATCCCAGGCACTTGCCAATGGCAGTCAAGCCCACCTATGGCTGGCAGTCACCACTGCCTTTCCTGCCTGAAGCTCCTGAAGCCACACAGGCTGATGGGAGAAGGGCTGGAAATAAGAAATATAAAAGAGCTGAGAGCATGGACAGCGCCTGTTTCTAGTTGATTGTTCCATGAACATGCCTAAAAGACAACAGGTGATTCTAAAACAAGGCAAAGGGATCACAATGTATTGAACCTCTACTCTGGCCCAAGTCAGTGTAATCTCAGAGCCCATGGCTGACTGTTGTGGGACACTGATGCCAGGTGCCCTGGTTGCCTGGGTTACCTCAGAGCCTAGGACTAGTGGCTTCCTCATTTTGTTGAGGCTCTCCTTCCAGGAGCTTATTTTAGCATTTCTTTGCAGCACCATGCACTGTTCTCAATTGACCCCAGAAGCTTTCCCACGAATCTCCACGCTTGGAGCTGGGCTAGGACTATGCATAGAATGGCTCTGACAGAGCCTGCTCCCATGGGCTAAGATGGCCACCATGGGAAAAATAAATGCAATGGAACTAAAACCAGTAGTGGGCCCGCTGTCCCACAGGTGCGGCCTGGTACCCAGGTTGATGTCTGGGGCTCTTCCAAGGGGTGAGTGAGGAGTGACTGCCAAACATCTGACTCTTCGACAGGCCGGAGAATCATCTTCCCACCACCTGGTAGTAATTTCTTCACGGTCCCCCACCTTAGTGGCCATAACTACAGTTGAGCTCCTCTTCTGCATTTTCCTCTCTGTCTCTCCTCTGTCTGCCCCCTCTCCCTACACTATCCTGAGATCTGGGGTGGAAAACTTAGAAACTTCCCAGTGTGCATGAAAGTTTGCATTGTTAGGGCAAAGCACCCCTAAGACTCCGAGCACAGTAGAGTAGGAATGGACAAGTGCTGCTCACAGCCACGGGCACAGCCACGTGGCTGCTGAGTGATGTCACATAACACTTATAAGAGGGTGATATGGAGACAAATGGGGCCTACTGAAGCAACCTGTATCATAGTTGATGCCATACTTCTCCAGGGAGAAAGAGGACGTGCAGCCCCCGAGAGCTGTGGCCCTTGGGAGTGCTCCCCGCCTGGGGCAGTGGTGACCACCTGGTCTGTGGACATATCAGTATTCACCCTCTTCTGATAAATAGCACCTCGGTTCTCATGGGGAGCCACCCTCCCCTCAATTTCTTCTTTGTTGTTGGGTGGGCCTGACCCCACCCCCAGAACTAGGTAGGCACACTACCCAGAACTGGCCAAAGAAAGTGCTGTGATTAGTTCTGGGATGGGCACATAACCTAACTTGGGCAAATGAAAATCAGGTCTGCGACTATTGCTGAAACTGCTGGGATGGAGCATTCCGCACTCCCTGTGTGCCGGGATTCCTAAGTGGTTAACTCTAAGCCTGGAGCTGCTGGAGGTGTGGATGCTGCTGTGCTGGGAGAGCCTGCTGAGGAGGAAGCCAGTCCAGGGGAAACTTGCTAAGAGATGGAGAATACTGCTTCCTGTAGACTACTTGAGCCTGGAGATCCAGTCACATCTGCAGCTAGATCTCTCCTGGCCTTTTCAGGTGCGTGGCATGATGAGTCCCCTTTTCTGCTTTAGGTAGTTTAAAGTGGTTTTATCCCATTTGCAATATAAGTGCTGAGAAGTCCAGCTGTGGATATCAAGGTTTATACGAAACATAAGCAATATGAGAACACAGGGCTGACATTCAGCTGATATGCACAACTGAACAACGGAAATATTTCCACTCCAGTTGGTAAACAGCCATCCCCTACCCCACCCCCAGTGACCCAGTGCTGTCCAGGCCCCTTGGACTATCCCCTGGGGTTCCCTGGACTTCCCTACAATCTATCAACTCAAGGGTTAATATCTGGCATAGTAGGGAGCCTCTGCTGCCATTCACTTTGATTGGTCTTCTCAAAGTCATTGATGACCTCCATATTACAAAGTTCAATGTTCATTTCTCAGTCCTTACCTTACTTGGCCTGTCCACAGCATTTCAGCAACACAGTTGAGCACTCCCTCTTTGAAACACTCTACATAGCTTCCAGGACATCTCCTACACCCCCAGTTTCTCCTACCTGCCTGGCTACTCCTTCCTAATCTCTGTTCCTGATTTCTCCCCATCTCTTTGGCTTCTAGATGTTGGCACAGCCCAGGGCACAGCCCATGGGACTCTTTCCCATGTGCATTCATCCTCTGAGGGGTCTTATCCAGTCTCATGGCTTTGGCTACTATTCCAAATCTACAGCTCTCCTGGCCCTCTCCCTTGAACTCCAAAGTCATACATCTAGTTGCCTACATGCCTTCTCCACCTAGAGGTCTGACAGGCATCAACTCCTGATATCCACCACACCCCCATTTCATTTTCCAATTGCTCAAGCCTAAATCCTTTGGTCTGATCCTAAGTTCTCTCTCTCACACACATATCCTACATCTGATTTTTCATCAAATCCCTTCAGATGTACCTTCAAAACATGTCCCTAACCTCCCACTACACACCTTCTTTGCTGCCATCTCCCTAGTCCAAGCCACCATTAAACCTGGGTGAACGCAACAGACTCCTAACTGGCTCTCGGCTTCTGCTCTGGACATACTATGGTCCTTCTCGACCCAGCAGCCAGAGGGATTCTTTTAATCATTCCTCTGCTCAAAACCCTCCAATGCTTCCCATTTATTCAGAGTAAAAGCAAAGCCATTACCATGACTCCAGAGGCTTACACGAACTAGCCTGTGACCCTCTCACCTCCCTCCCACTAATGCTCTCCACGCCAACCACTCTGGCCTTGGCGAGGCTTCTGCCACAGGACCTTTGCACGTGCTGCTCCCTCAGCTGAAATGCTCATTCCTCACTTATTTGCATTGCTTTCCCCCACTGTGTTCAAGTCTTAATTAAAAAATTATTTCTTGGTAAGGGTGTCCCTCATACCCCATTTAAGATGCCAATCCCCATCTCTATCTACTTTATTTTTTCTTCTTCATACTTATCATTATCTAATATACTTTATATTTCACTCATTTAAATTGTCCACTGTCTTCTTCCCTCACGAAAATGTAAACTCAATAAGAACTGAGGGCTGTTTGATTATTTTATTTATTGCTCTGTGAAGCAGCAAACACCACATATAATAAGCACATAATAAGATATCAATAGATACTTTTGGATGAATCATGGTATCTATTCCATACTCATAAATATTTTGACTATCACTCCTGGAGACACTCCTCCCCTCCCCCCACCTCTCCACGTGCTCCTTGAGAAAACCAGCAGCCCCCTTTTTCCAATATCCTCATTCTTAACTATATCAAAGCCCCTGCTGGCCCTGAATTGGCAATTCAGAGAACTGGGTACTGGTAAAGGGGGCCCTGGATAGGTTGCAGCATTTCATGCACTAGGAACAATTCCCCATTTCACAGATTCATACACTGACGTGTGATCAGCACACTATCAGACATTAGCTTAGTTTCTGAGCATTCAGAGACTCTGGGCATATGAAGGTGGACCTGGGATTGTAATACGCCCCCTCATGAGGGCCTGACCCCCAGCTGGGCATGGGTTAACACCCCTGTTGGTCACCTGCCTCCAGCCACCATGGGCCAAGAGCTGTGTCCTGCCATTTTTGTGTGAAGAAGCCACAGAGCACATGGGACATCAGATCTGTCCTTAGAGCTTTAGTTGGCAGGAAGGAGTTTGGGAGTAGGATGAAGGACATATGGGTACAGGAGGAAGGAAATAAAGAAAGGGGAAGCAAACAGACCCTCTTTGCCTGAATTCTTCAGAACACTATCAGGTGAATGAGGAACATCGGAGCAGGGCCAGACCAGGACAGAAAGCTCAGCTGATGCAGCCCTGCCTCGTTACCTTAGGTTTAGGGAGTCCTCCGTGATGCCTTTCCCCTTCAAGCCAGGTTGGAAAGAGCAGAAGCTAAAAAAAAAAAAAAAAAAAGCAAAGGGACAATTCTGTCAGCAGAGCCCACTCTTCCAGCACTTGGAGACACTTGTGGAGTCAGGCAAGAGCTAGGGTCTGTTCTTGCCCTGCGTGCCCCACCCTGCCCCAGGTCATGATCACCTGGCCTGGGTGTACCTTGGAGGCATCCTCTTAGCACCTCCAGGTGTCACACACTCTGGCCATACTAATGTCAATAATTATTAGACAATAGTTACAAGGCACACCTTTCTTAGGTGTCTCCTCTGTGCCAAGCATTTGACATTGCAGTTGACAAACTCAGTAACTCTGCTGCACGTTCCAGTGTGCCCCTCCGGAGACGAATGTCATCTTCATTTAGTGTTCCCAGACGGGTGGGCGCAGCTGGGACGTTTATGCTAGGCAACACTCACTGCCTGAGCAAGGGAGTACGAGACTTCCAGATAAACTTTGAAAATGTTTAATATACACAAACCACAGGGGAAAATGAATCTGAAGTGCAGCACTGCATGACTGTTTTTAGATTTGGTCTAAGATGGACCTGAAGACACTTTTCTGAGGTAATCTAACAGCACAACCTTGGGAGAACACCGCCTGGAGGCTCCCCTGTGTGAAAGGAGGCGCGTTGAGATCTGGAGCTGTTTCCTACACTCCAACAGTGCCCCGTGGGCCCAAGAGCTGGTCCTGGTGTCAATTACTGGCAAAAATACCGTGAAGGCCAGACTGGAGGCTCAGAGCACAAAATCGGGTTTCTCAGACCAGGGTGTCAAAGTGCACCATAGAACTTCCAGCCCAAAATGGAGTAGACATAACCATGTCCTTTGATAATCCAACCTTCCTTTGGTCTGTTTGTGTTTAGAAACCTGCCTTCCTTTCTGTCCTTTCTAGATTTTCTACATCAAGTCTCTGTGTCTGTCTAATAATAATAACCTAAATGACCATTAATATTAAAAATGTTCACACTGGCTTAATTTTCTTAGATTAATTAATCTATTGTTAAACTTAGATTTCTCTCTTCAAGAAAAACAGATGTTCAATGCAAAGGTGGGAAATTCAGTTATTTGGAATTCTTTCCAGGAAAATATGCCATTGGGAGAACTAAAATATGTACTAGGGATCAAAAAGAAAGGTTGAGCCAAACAAAAAAAATTACTTGGGAAATAAGAAAATACAGCCAGACAATTCTGGAAGGTCCATTAAACAGACAGTTTATTAAATATGTTATATATGCACATTCCTTTTTCTCCCTTCAATCGTTAAGGTCCTAAACAACTTCAATGAAAATGGAGCCTGCTTCCCAGGATTTAGGGAAGGAGCTTCTGTATCTTTTCTCTCTACTTTGTTCCATGACTCAGCAGCTCTCTGGGTCAGGAAGTTCTTCCTTGCGCTTAACCTAAATACTGCTTGCTACAGGTTGAGGGCATTTCTCCTGCGAACAGAGATTAGCAGTCTTGTTCCTCCGCTCTCGGTTCATGACCAATTTCTGCAAAAGGAAAATTTCCCAGGTCTTACCTTTTGAAGGCCTTACTCCGGTCATTGTTGTGGAAGACAAGAAACGTAGAACATCCATTTTGGAAAAAGATTTCCAGGGCGATGTCCTACAAAGAGAAACCCCTTTTACCGATCCTGATGTCTCCCTGTGGGAACTCTCTGCGGTTCCTAGAATGGAGATGCCCCAGGTGACAGAGCAGCCACGAGTGGGTCACTTGTGTTTCTGTGTCAGGCAGCCCCCCTCCTGGTCCATCCTCAGACCTCCCACAGGGGTATAAAGTCCATGTGATGGATGGATGACTATTTCAGCAGGAAGAGAGAAGTGGGGCCTGGTTAGCTTCTCTGGCTGGAGCCCGAAGCAAGAGCATCCCTCCCAGGACAAGTGAGGACTGGACAAGGGGACTGTCAGGGATTGAACCATGGCCCCAGAAAGATACGCTGAAATCCGAACCTCTGTCCTGGTCACCCTGACCCTGTTCAGGATCAGAGCTTTTCCTTTTGTTATGCTAATGAGCTCACACAGAGTAAGGTGGGTTCCTAACCTAATCCTTTCTGAAGGGCCTCTTATAAAAAGGGAGAACAGGAGCACAGGAAGCAGATAGACTCCATACAATATGAGGCAGATGAATCCACAAGCCCAGGAAATTCCAGGATTACCAACTACTAGAAGCTGAAAGAGACAAAGCATAATTTTCCCCTAGAGCCGATACCCTGAATTTAGACTCCCAGCTTCTGGGTGCCCTGGTGGTGCAGTGGTTAAGTGCTCCGCTGCTAACTGAAGAGTCAGTGGTTGTAACCCGCCAGCCATCCTAAGGGAGAAAGCTGTGGCAATCAATCTGCTTCAGTAATAATTACAGCCTTGGACACGCCAAGGGGCAGCTCTACCTGTCCTATAGGGCAGCTATTAGTCAGAATCGACTTGACGGCACACAACAATGACAAGCTTCCTGACTGTGAAGAGATAAATTTCTATTCTTTAAAGCCACCTACTTTGGTATTTTTCTTACAGTAGCACTAATTCAGTAAAACAGGGAGAAAATGCCCAGTGACACCTTCAGACGCCTTCTCTTCCTGATTGGGGTTTCGGTCTCTTGAACAGGAGGGCCCCCTGACCAGACACACTAGGGGAGCTTGTAGGATGGGTGTGACTTCCTGACCAGGCAGCCTCCTACACACCTCTACAGACGTCAAGGGCACAGGGCATCCTGCTGAGTCTATCCCGACGCGCCATGTCGACGTGGCTGCAGTGCCCCAGCCTTGCTGTGTTGTTGTGTTGTTAGGTGTCGTCAAGTCAGTTCTGACTCAGCAACCCCATGTGCGCAGGGTACAACTGCCCATAGGGTCTTCCTGGCTGTAGTCTTTACAGAAGCAGATCACCAGGTCTTTCTCCTGTGGAGACGCTGGGTGAGTTCAAACCATCAGCCTTTCTGTTAGCAGCCAAGCACTTAACTGTTGCACCACCAGGATGCCTTATTTTGCTAAAACCTCAATGAAGAAAACTCCATGATTTTCTTTCCTGGTCTTTCTCCTTTCCCTCCTGCCTTCCTCTCTCCCTCCGTCCATGTGTTTTAAGCTGTGTAACAACAGACTTGTAAGAAGGGATAGAGTGCATCCCCTTGTGGGATACGAGATGGGGATGAGACAGGGTGGGGGGAGACAATTCTCAGGGCAGGGAGGGTGAGAGTCAGACCAAACGTGGAGCAGGCTTCAGGCATGTCTGTTTGCAGGTCGTGGGTTATCTCACGAGCAGAGTTTCCACCTGAACACACAGGCAAGGCTACTGCATCCAGCACCCGCGTTATGTTCCCTTTCTACCTGGCTGGAATTCCGTTTTCAAAGTCTCGTCCATTAAGGCTCATTAAGTGCCCCAAGCCCAGGAAAGATATTTGTAATGATATTGCAAAACCCCTCCCCTCTGTGGGTGAACATAGAGATTTTTACACCTAGAAACACAAAGTGCACAACAGAGGGTGCACGTGGACTCCGCAGGGGGCGTGGCTCAGCCTGGAAAAGCTGAGTGCCCAGCCTCGGTCCTTCTCCAGGGAGAAGCCAGCCTGTGCAGGCGGCCTTGCTCACAGAGCCCCTCCCTGTCCTGCCCCACTCATGAACGCACAACCTTCCGTTTCTGCCCTCCACCACTGTCAGGCTAAGTAACCCTCTGGAAACAATCACCGTTTACCTAAGAAAAAGAAACTGACTCACTGACAGCTATTTGGTGCTATATATAACCTGGAAGGTGGACATATAATCATAAAAAATAATTTGGGGGCACTTACTTTTGTTAAAAGCTTGGCTGCTAACCAAAAGATCAGCAGTTCGAATCCCTCAGCTGCTCCTTGGAAACCCCATGGGGCAGCTCTAGTCTGTCCAACAGGGTCGCTATGAGTTGGAATTGACTTGATGGCAATGGGTTTGGTTTTGGTTTGGTACTATATGCCCCAAAATGCGCTAAGTACTATATACAGGAGTGGAAAAGAAGAGTCGTGGTCTGCTGTTTACTGACGGGGAAGTTGAAGCTGGAGGGGGCTCAAGCGTGCCAAGTGGCAGAGCCCTGCTTGCGCCCACGAGGTCAGCCTCCTAACCACTGCCAGAACCCAGGGCGGGAGCCTTCCACTGTTTGTCTCTGTTACCCTGTCCTTGCACAGAAGCCCCTAGGGTCAGGACCAGGGAGAATCAGCCACTTCCTGGACTAAAGCAGGGAGCAGGGAGGGAGAGGGCACATCAGATGCCCAGATAGCAGAGTGCCTGCTGAGCCACTGTCTACAAGGCAGCGGATCCCTCCTGAACCAGCTCTGAAAGGCCTCTCTGAGCTTGTTTCAGAGAATAATAACAATGCCTCCTGCATGAGGATCCCTTGATGAATGAATGTGCTAGGGCCCAGGAAGGGAATTTACAGTGAACGACTTGTGAGAGCAGAGAGCCTGCAGAGAGGGCCCACCCGTGCTCCTCCCTGCCCAGATGAAGGATGGAGACACAGCCTTGCTTCTGCCTACATGGACTGATGAAGAAAGATTAAGGCAAGACATGTCCTAAGAAGTGACCAGGGGCTTGGAGAACAGTGAGACAGTGGGGAGAAGGGCAGGTGGGCAGAGGAAGGGCACCCAGCATCACAGGGTCAGAGCAGAGCTGGGCGGCCAGGTGGGCTGGGAATTTTCAGACCAGGACAAGCTGGGACTCAGATTTCAGTTACCAGCTTCATGGTGCAGGGCAGTCTGCAGGGCGGCTCTGTGGTGCCTCAGGGGAAAACAGGGCAAAGAGGCTGGACCCTAAGGACACAGTAAGAGAGGCCCAGCAGCCCAAGGACGGGCTGGAGAGGGAGTGCAGCCACAGTCATCAGAGCTCTGGGCCAGGGAACTCAGGAGTCAGGAGAGGTGCTGGGCTGTGCATGGGGGTGGGCCCCTCATTAGCGAGACTCAGCAGCACAGGGATAACGTGTCCTGTGAACAAGCTGGCCCTCCCCCTGCCCCAGAAGGCATACCTGCAGAAGGAAGTGTGTCTGGCGGATCTCCCTGATGTCCGTGTACCTGTGGCGCTGGCATGCATAATGGTCACAGGACCTGTCTTTGCTGCACATGTTGAAAATGAACGGATCGCTGATGCTGGAAAGGAACAAGACATGGGGTGTGGGCATCCAGACATCCACATAAGAGGACAACTGATGGGCCTCTTCCCTGTGGCCCTGCGGCCCTGCGGCACCTTGCCCTCTGGTCACTGCCAACAAGGGTTCCAACCACCCCGCTCTCAGAGAACTCGTCTCTCAGTGCCTGCCGATGTCAGCTCTGGCACTGGGTGCAACAGACACAGAGACAACCACCCTGCCCTCAAGGAGTAGGGGGGGACGCTGTCTTAGTCATCTAGCGCTGCTACAATAGAAATACCACAAGTGGATGGCTCTAACAAAGAGAAATTTATTTCTTCACAGTTAAGTAGGATAAAAGTCCAAATTCAGGGCATCAGCTCCAGGGAAAGGCTTTCTGTCTCTGTTGGCCTTCTCATCAATGTTCCCCCGGACTATGAGCTTCTCCGCGCAGGGACCCCAGGTCCAAAGGACGCGCTCTGCTCCCGGCACTGCTTTCTTGGTAGTATGAGGTCCCCCTGTCTCTCTGCTCACTTCTCTCTTTTATATCTCAAGATATTGCCTCAGGGCACAATCCAATCTTGTAGACTGAGTCCTGCCTCACTAACACAACTGCTGCCCATCCTCCCTCATGAACATCATAGAGGCAGGATTTACAACACATGGGAAAATCACACAATACCGGGAATCATGGCCAAGCCAAACTGATACACACATTCTTCTGGCGGACACAATTCAATCCATGATAGATGTCAAGCCTCTCTGGGAGAGGAGACAACAGGTGACAGCACAGATTCCATGACAGTGGTGAATGAGAGAAGGCTTTCTGGATGGTTCCAATGGTGGGGGTAGTCAGGGAAGACTTCCCGGAGGAGGTGGCAATTTGACCACATGATCATAAACCATGATGAGAGAACCTGGAAGGAGTGCAATCTCTCCTTCCTGAGAGTAGGGCAACTAAGGCCTGGTTCCTGAGTGGCCTGCCCCAGGCCAGCAGTGGGCAGTCTGAGCCCCAGTATGTCTGCCCCACCCACATAACTTAGTCCCTCTGTCAGGTGGTCTTGTTTATAGTCAAAGACTTCACTCCCCTGGCCAGGACCAAGAGGACAGACAAGGTAACCTGAGTCAGGTGTGGCCTGAGACCATGACAAGGACTGCACAAATCAGACCTTTCCTCCTGGCACTGGCATGTACAGAATGTAGGGCAGTAGTGGAGGTGTGAAGCAAGAGGTTCTGATTAACGGGAGAAGCTGAGATGGCCACAAAGATCAAGTGCGAGCCAACGTAGGAAGGACCTGAAAGCGTAAGTGAGGAAAAAGGAGGGGAGCAGACAAAAGCAGAGAGACCACCAGAGAGGCTGTAGGCCCAGGGAGAGGGACCTTACCTGCCCATCCCAGGCCCAGCCCACGGGAACATCTGTGACATGGCCCCTCTTCTAGAGTGAGTATGGCTCATGTCCCAGGTGTTCTAAGGTGACGTCGTGGTATTAAACCATCTGGCTCTTCTGCATCCTGGACCCATTTCCTCCAAATTTTCGGCAGCCCTGAGAGCTTTCTAGATGGACTGGGTATACCCAGCCTTGGTCCAAGAAGTCCACTGCATTCTAGATAGATGTCTTCATTACACAGCAGAAACAATGGTCTGAAAGCTAGAGCTCATGTTATTTGCAAGTTCAAGGCTTGAGTAAGAGAAGGGGTGGGGTGTGGTCTCAACATTCTAAAATGCATGCATTGAATAGCAAGAAGCAAGCGTGGAGCATTGGCCACAGCCCGCATGAAAAGTCAAAGAGTAGAGCACAGTGTGTGACCCCTGAGGCCACCGTCTTTCCCCAGGAGTGTAGGGCTGCCCGTAGGAGGCAGAGGGAAAGACCACGCTCCTAGCTTCTGATGGTGTTTGAGGGGCTCTCCCTGCACCTTTCCTCCTCCAAGGGTTAAAAGTGAAAGAGAAACCCCACTTACGTTTGAAGAAAGTTCAGAGGTGGGGACAAGATGGTGGAGTAGTCAGATGCTTCTGGTGGACCCTCTTACAACAAAGACCCGAAAAAACAAGTGAATCGATTATATATGACAATCTAGGAGCGCTGAACATCAAAGGCAAAGTTGAGGAACTGGACTGAGTGGCAAGGGGAGGGAGAGACGGTTTGGAAGCAGCAAGGAGGTACCAGACCTGACCCGGTGAGAGCCTGAGCGCTTCAGGTCTGATCAGCTCATGGGTGAGTGGTGAGGCTGGCAAGCAGTAGTGCTCGGGAGGCGTCTTCTGCACCGGGAGAGACCCAGTGGCAGAGAGTCTACTCGGCCACCCAGAACCAGTGACAAAGAGCCCTCGATCAGTGAAAGGTAAGTACTTGTGTCCGGCCTACTGCGCAGATTGAAAATACTCCCCTCAGGGAAAAACCTCTCTCCCATTTACCTCCCTGCTCCTTCCCACTCCCATTTACCAGACCAGCTTCAGAAATTAACAAGTCCCCTGGGCTGGAAGTAGGATCCGTCACATGCCCTGAGCCATTCTCCCGGTCTTGGAGAGTGAACAAATTAACAAACAGGAAAAAATAAATTGCCGGCTCCCCTAAGCCAGGAACTCAGGGTAGGCACAGCTCTTTTGTCTAGGCACAGGCAAAGATCCATGGACTCTGAGTGCCTTTCCCCCTGAATAGACCAGTGTGGGCCCATTTCAACAGCATAGGCCCTCATTATCACTGTACAACAGGGTATATACCTGAAGTCTACAATCAACTGTTTCAGCTGTGAAGTGGCAGGTTCATGACATTTGACACTGCTCTGCTCATTAAGTAGGGTCTTCACCTACCCACATCAGGGGACTGAAGACTGATGGCTCCAACTATGCCACCTAGCCACCTGTGATAGGGGCCCAAGAATAAGAGGTGCCACCCAGTCCTTACAGCCAACAGCACTGAGTGCTCATAATCTGGATGCAAAACCCACCCACCTACGTGCTCCAGGGAATAGGGACACGCCTTCCTCCTGGACACTCCGGGGCAACCATCAGCCCACTTTCTTGCTCACAGTGTGTCCTTCTCCTGTAGCCAGATGCCTGTGCCTATACCAATCACCCATACCTGTCTGGGACTGTAGGTGACAGCCTGCACCACACACTTGGTGGCTGTCTACCTGGGCACTTGAGCTGAATACAAACAGAAGAGGGCGGATTCCTGAGCTCACATACCTACTAACAGATCTAACCACCCGAGGGCAGGACATTAGAGCTGCTGAGGTGCCAGTGATCAAACTAGCTCATATGAGTAGCCTATTTGGGCATATCAAAACAAAAAAAAGAAGCTAGGACACAATAAGCAAACATAAATAAATATAATAACTTATTGATGGCTCAGAGACAACAGTCAATATCAAATCACATAAACGGGCAATCAATGATGGCCTCAGCAAGCTCCCAAAATAAAGAATCTAGAAATTTTCCAGAGGAGGAAAATTTCTTGGAATTACCGGAGGCAGAATATAAAAGATTAATACACAAAACTCTTCAAGAGATTAGAAAGGAAATTAATCAAAACGCAGAACATGAAATGGGAGGAAATTAAAAAGATTAGAGACGAGCATAATGATAAATTTAACAGGCTGCAAGAATCCATAGAGAGATAGCAATAAGAAATCCAGAACATTAACAATACAATTTCAGAATTAGACAACTCAATAGAAAGTCATAGGAGCAGAATTGAGGCAATGGAAGTCAGAATTAGTGAGATTGAAGATAACACCAACTTATTTGAGGAAAAATCAGATAAAAGGATTAAAAAAAAAAAAAAAAAGAAACCCTAAAAATTATGCGGGACTCTATCAAGAGGAATAACCTACGAGTGATTGGAGTACCAGAATGAGGGGATAACAGAAAATACAGAGAGAATTGTTGAAGATTTGTTGGCAGAAAAC